AAGGAAAAAAATTACTTATAGATAACGTTTGTCAACGTATCAATTTCCTAAGCGTTGCCGACAAATTTGCATATTGCTTGTGGCTCGATAAATCAGGGGGAGGCGATCGATTAACTTAGATATTGGCAATGTCGAGCGCTAGTCATCGATTTTTTTTCAAGCGATCTTTCTAGGCCAAGTATAGATCCATTTACATTCCATACCGAGAAATTTATAATCTACTTATTGAATCCTTGCCAGGGATAAATTGGATGTCCTCTGTCCTATCTTTGTTCTTTTCACGGTGAAATTACGATCGTCATTGTGCTCGATCGATTAGAATCATAAATAGAATTGAACTCGTTCGAACCGAAGAAAATCCTCGATTTCTTCCTGATCAATCACCGATTGGCTCTCTTAAATTGTAATTATAAGGAAATATAATACGAAATTAGAATATATTAGCTTATGTTATTAACGTGAAATGGAGGAATAAAATGACATACCCGTGTCATTTATTGAACTCTATAAAATTTTTGAAGATTGATAGATTTGGTAGCAACAAATTTCTTCTTGCAGTCAATAGCCTTGAATTGAATTCTTTTAATCAGTAGTCTGTCAGCACGTGCTCGTGATGATTTTATATAATAACGGAGAATTTCATCAACAGTAATAACAGTATTGTACTGTATCGTACCGAAGTATATTATTAAATAACTATCCTAAGTATGTACATACCGAGGTATGCAAATAGCACATTTCGTAGGCACTGCAATTCACGATTGAAAGGCGCGTCTCGAGCCGGTGACGTATCGCATGCCCTTTCCAGATCGACGATTCCGCGTTGGAGAGATCCTGCTCCGGCACGGTTGACCTCTCGTGACTCGCCGCGACCAGACACGTAGGACCTTTCTCCTGCCGAGGATAATTGTTGTCTACCGCGTTCTCCATGCCTCTATCAAACGAGCGCTTCCTGCACGTTTTATACGTTTGAAAGACATTTTGACAGACATCGCGATCGTCTCGATACGGGACTCGGCTTTTGTTCTGTGTGAAAGAGGCTCGCCAAAGTGAAAGAAGCCCTTTTTGTTCGTTCGCGGTACTCTGCCTCTTCCTTTGCTGACCGACCGCTACCCATTACCGTCTACTCTCCCTTACCTTCTGTTCCACTTTGAGCGAAATGTTTGCGAAAACATGCCTCCTCCTTTCAAGTTCTTTATCACGCTCGTCGAATGGGCCTTTTTTCTTCGCGACGAAGTTTATAGGCGCTTCCCTCCGTGTCTGGACATTTTAGAAAGGGAGTTCAGAGATCCGTCGTTTGGCATTGAAACGCTCGTACAGATTTTGTAACTTTCGAATAGTATCGTTGGGCTTACAGTTCACGAGATTCACTCTACTGTTCTCCTCGCTTCAGATAATTCTCTAAAACTCAGTCGTCTCTTTTGCAACGTACGATACATCTTAAAATTATTGATCGTATTTTTCATTATAATAAATTAAAATTATATCGTGTTTAAGAATTATGTACAAAATCGGATCATCTAGACTCGACTAGACTGATCTAATACTAGGATACTTAATTTCGAAATTTGTTATTCAATTGAATTTTATTACCAGAGTGCCTATTCTTATGGAAATTTATATTTTCACGGACACATTTTGAAAAAATATCGTTTCATCTGCTATAATATCGACAATAATCAAGTAACCGAATTTTCAAGGAAGCACTCGTACAATATGGCACGTATAGTATGTATGATAAAATCTATAATGGAACGCTGCAGTTCGTAGACCGAACAGCGTGATTGATCGCTTCCTTCTGATCGAAGAACGCGGCAGCAGATCTTGACTAACCTGAATCTATCAATCTTATTTCGTTTTGTTTCTTTTTAACTGGATTTTATTTTTTTCTCTTTTTTACGAGATTGATTGCTGCTGTAATGGAAAAAGAATTAAGAAGATTGCATAGAGCTTCAAGTAAGAGTCTATCAACACGAATATTAGTTGACTGCGAATTCATAACATATTCGAAACAGTGATTTCTGATTGTTTTCTTGTCGGTTTGCTAAAATTATTTGAAAGCGGAGCATTGGAGTGTTATTGCAACAGCCCTTTTAATTATTGTATTTTTATCGTTTCATCGTTCCCACTGCACTGCGCTGGCAGTTGCGAATTGCTATTTTTCTCATTCCAGTGCTCGTATGAAGGATAAAATAGTAGACACGAGCCACGTTATGTCGCGTGACAGGATGCCGCGACATTTTCTTTCTAAAATTGTTATTCCGTTAGTAATTCCGCCCCGATTGTTCGTTGACTGTGTAAGTACTTTGTTCCGTTATTTCTTTCGAGGCATTGCAAGAGTTTATCGAACATCCGTATGATTATATTTAAATGTAATAAATATCCTAAAGAATATTATTTTATTTACTGACAAATTTTACACGTACTTGTGATCTTTTTTATCAATTACATTTTTTGAGATTGATATTGATCTCGTACGAATAGATATTAAAAACGTACGTAAATTTTAAATATTTAATTCTAACATTCGATATAATTTTATGTACGTGTTTTATAAGCTACATGTATAAAGCATCGTGAAAAAGAGATCGAACGGCGACAAAGTTAAATTCGATTCCCAAAGTGTCAGGGAAGGAACGAACAGTGAAAGCTGGAAGCATTAGTTTTGCCGGTCAGAGAAGGTTAATTCTTAAAACTTTCTAAAACGGATATCAGTTTCACGTGCAAGGGTAGAGCAGAGCGGAGGATTAATTTTGAGGCCAGTCGTGGTCGTGCACTATTTTAGAAAGCATCGCGGGTCGCCGACCTCCTCGAACAGCGAGGAGCCGTGACTTCCGGTTATCAGTTTTACGAAACTTGCAGCGAACTGGCATTTAGTCGCCGGCCTGCTATAAATAACGACCAAGCGCGACCTGAATTGGTGATAAGTTAATTCGTGACGGCTCGTGGATTGCTTTAACGATGGTTAATCGAAGAAATTAGCGCGGCATCGATCGCTGACGGAATTCGTTCGGGGATGGAACGAATGAAAAAAGAAGGTTTATGCAGCTTGAAAAATTGGATTTTTAGTCTTCTTAAAAGAGCAGCGTTAATTTCATTTAAGAAATTGTTTGAGTACAGAGAATCTGAATCGAAGTTCAATTTTTTTTTTTTTTTCAATTGAACTTGAGAATTTTTCTAATGTAATAATGTATCGTTATAATATAATGTATCGGCTTTTAAAGGGTTTGTTATATTGTGCAAATATAATATGAATTTCGTAGTTAAGTTTTATATGTATAATTTCTTATTACGTGTACAAAAATAGAAGTTTTTTTTCTGACAAAATAGAAAAGATAACAGATAAAGTAGTAAAATAATAAAATGAAAAAAGAGAGACTTGACACTGTCTCTTAAAATTCAGTGAGCCTTTAAAGGGTTAATTCCTACATGTATATTAACCCTTTGGATACTTAAAATTAGCAAAAGTCTAAAAGTTCAATATTGAATGTGGAGCATAAATTAAATAACATTGAACATTTCGATTCTCTATTTCCAAACAGTTTCAATTATTACGAAAATACATCATTACAGAATATACAATTATTCGATTGAACATTCCGAATTTTCTCTATCAAGTTAGGGAGTATTTCTTCTTTTTTTTTTTTTTTTTTTCCTCCTGACGGACGTACATACTTCTGTCGTCGAGAATCTTTCTCCCAGAATGTAAACCGTGATCGGTTGCTGGCTTACCAAAGTAATATTTTTAATGGCTGATTGGCATGATGCAGACACTTGGTTTTAGTTCACCTAATTACTGAATTGCTGAGTGATGTAACAGCGTGTAACCGGCAGTGGCGTACAGCGTTAATGAACAGATTGCATCAGCAGTTCCTAAATTTGGTATTTCTCACTCGTTCAGAATCCCATGACCGAAATGTACATATGTATCTATGAAGATTTCGTAAGAACTTTGGGAACTGCTAGGTGATAGTCGAGACGTTCAGAAGCCACGTTGATCAACCTCATATAAGTTGTAATACAAAGGAAAATTATTTTTGCTTTTAAATTTGCAATTGTCCGCACTAGTTTCCAAGTTCTGAAAATGAGTCCTCTGCTTTTTAATATATCGAATATTAATCACGCGTCTCAACTTTATCCGAAATGAAGTTGATCACTTTGGCTCCCGAGTGGAAAAATGTGTTTTACATCGCTTTGCAACACACAAAGTCGAAGCACAAAGGTTCTAAACAAGAGTGCCATCTATTTGGAGATACACGCTGTGAACGTTTTCTTTCTTTCTTTTTTTTTTTTCAAATAACCGGCGGGGATGTAATTTTCAATGCTGTTCTTACGCCTCTTTCATATGTAAATACGGAGTAATTTTATCCTGGGAATGGACCTTCTTTGGAACTTCTCCTGTACATACTGTTTCTTGGCGACAAACTAAACCAACTACATGCTCTCTCGTTCTCTTTGCCAACCAAACATTCTTTTGTTCTCTTTATTCTTCTTTTCTTCCGCTAATCGAAGATACGACGTAAGAAACAAACTTTTGTCGAGGCATCCAACCTGTTGACGGTGAAGTTAATATCGAAGTCAGTGGTTAAAGCTGAGATTAACTCTTAACTCGAATTTATTTTGTGTTTGCGAATCTGCGCTTGCGAATTAACCCTTAAATAGTATCGTTGGGTAATAACCGAGAATCAACCAACGCAGCGGTGGAACAATGCTGGAATCGACAACTCGTTTGACGCCAGGAAGCAGCAGGATGATTTCCAAAAATCAAAAAAAAAAAAAAAAAAAAAAAAAAAAAGAAAGAAACGGGAAAGGAGAAAGATGAGCAACAGATGAGTGTCTATGCCGATAACACGGCCGCAGAGAGGAATTATGCGACTGAACGAAACTAACCAACCACCGAAGTTAACAAAATATTAATTGTCCCCTGTTCCCTCTTGCTCGACTTCTGTTTCGCCTTCTGATTGGCTCTCTGCATTGGCACGTTGGTGACTAACTCGAAGTCGACATCACACGAGCACCAGCGAACATCGTACCTCGACTACCTCGAAGACCGAAGGTTGGGACAAGGTCGACCCTGCAGCACCGCCAAAGCGGTCCGCATTCGACAGCTTCAAAAGGTGACGCTACACACAGAGAAAAAAAAAACCAACGATCACTCTCTCTTTCTTCTTCTTTTTTTTTTTTTTTTTTTTTTTTTTTTTGTTCTTAAATGTCCGAATAATTCCCCGATGTCCATATTTTCCTTGGTAGAGGTCCGTCATTTTGTTCTGTGGTATTTTGCGTTAGAAATTGGCAGCTCTTTGCTCGGTTTTAACTTCTGGCAAAATTGGAAATTAAATGATTTTAAATTTCCTTCCGTCCGAAAATAAAAATTTGTTTTATTTACTATAATATTACAATATTATAATTTTTTATGTTTTTATGTACTATATGCATTCTGCAATTATGCAAGTATTTTCTAATTTCCCACAAGTGCATGAAAATCTGCAATCTAATGATTAATTGGTATCACGAACAAGTAGTTTTAAATTAGTGTCATTGTTGCGAGGTTAATGTTACTCCCGAGTCGCGTGTGTGCTGCATATTGAAAGTTCGAAGTTGCCTAATTGCATCAATATCGAACCTGTTGCTAACTTTACTATTAATAGAGTTAGCTCTCCAATATGTACGTGTCTTTGCAAATTTGTAATATTCTACGTTGACAATTCTAAATTCATTAAATTATAGTTTAAAAAGGCATTATAATTCATACACACAAGATACAAGTAAGATACGTTCTATTGATATTTTCTAATGAAACGTTTTTCTAATAGCTTCTTCATTTCATTTTCATAATAATTAATTTTATAATTACATGGAGATACTATTAAATGATACGCACCTTAATTAAATAATATGTAGACTATAAATACAGCAAATTCTTTTTATAGTCATTGCACATACTTCAATTAGCAATCCTAGTTTGATAATTCTCAAGTAAGTCACTATATTAGTTTACATCAAATTACTAAAATTCAGTATATTTAATTTTACTTTGTGTTTCACGTTACACCGCGCTAAAAATTAGTAACAAAATTAAATGAAACGATTTATATCTTAAATTTTTCCTATCGCAAATAGCCCAATGATACCAATTATGTAGTGGTTAATCTGTCGATTGATGGAAACTTTCGCAATTGTATAAATTTCCTCTACTCAAATATTCACCGATGACTCGATTATCGAAATAGCTGCCTCGCGCGTTCGCTTTCCCTATATGTATGCATATATTTACCATATTCCCCAATTACCTACTATCTTCTTTCTCACACCACCAACTAACCGTAAGCCACCATCAGCAACAAAAGCACTGTACAAGGTAATGGGCACAAAGATTATTCACGAGTAGATCGATCGGCAAAGTATTAACTCCTCGGTGAATGAATTAACCCAAACCCTCGTAACGTATAGTGATATATTAGAATAATGATCGCTTTTCCCTGCAGTTTCTCGCGTATGTTTCATGAGACAACGCCATCGAGACTGGCGAGCGTGTGGCACGCTGTAGAAATCGAGTTCCTTAACACGCCGATAGTCAGCTGAAAATAAGTAGATGCGCACGATCTTGGTCGTTTGTCGTGAGCCAGTATCAATGTTGTGTTTTGTTGCTATTGTTCGTTGCATTGTCACCGCCATCGTGTGTAAGGTAGTGATCGCCTCGATACCGATACTATTGATGATATTCGATCAATTCGATACCAACGTATTCAGCGAGAAGTGTCGATACGCGTCGAAACTTCGAGTACTTGGTATCAGTTATCGATGCCGATTCGTTCTGAATCAATACCAAATTAAATAACACTGTACGGAATCGAAATATTGACACTTGAATCGATTCCTTGACACTTGACGAAATTATCGATACTCTTGTTCGATACTCTTAATGTTTTGTTAAAATTCTAATTTAGTATTAAAATTCGGCACAAAATAGTCTTAAAATTGTCGATATTTTAAACCGATTGAATTTCGTAAAAGAAAAATCGTGCAACTAGGCTCGTTTCAAAGCGTGAAACGTCTATCTTTTGTACTACTGAATTTGCTTCTCACAAAGATTTTTCTACAGCATTCTGACCGAGGTGAATAAAAATACTCTCGAAGATTTCGCAAAGATTTTGCAAAACGTCTTTGCGAATTACTGGAAAGAATCTTGTCGTAATTAACGATCCCTTGAAATTTGTTGCACAATTTTTCCCCCACAAAATTATGAGTTTAAATTATCGACGATTTATCATCGAGTGTATTGTTCGTATCCACTGTATTATAAACATCGAAGAAGACTGAAAATGGTATAATCGATAGTATTAATATGGTATCAGTCCCATCAAGGTAAGATTCTGTTTCTCTCGAACTGTGGCACCCAGATCACTCGTAGGTGAACGAGTCCTCGTTGAGCCATTTGTATTGTTTTCGATAGCCATTGCATCGTCGTCGACGCATATACATATATTCGATTTATGTCTTCGTTTTTTTTTTTTTAATTTTTTTATTTATTTATTTATTTTTGCTTTTTATTTGTCCATCGTCCAGACGTTCACAATTGTCCCGTGATAAAAGTTACAAAAACGAAACGAAGCGTGTTACGGTCGGTAATTAATCGAAGGTTCGTTGCGTTGTACCTTTCAGCACGACGACGCAAAGCTCGACGCAGAACAGCAGTTCCCTGAGCCCGCAGCACGATTCAGCCTGGCTCGACGGCCTGAACAGTCCACTCATCCAGGATGAAGGCGACAGCAAAATGCTGAAGCTTCGATTCGATGTTTCCCAGTACACGCCGGAGGAGATCGTTGTCAAGACCGTGGACAACAAGCTGCTGGTGAGTACTCTTCCGCGTTCTTCTCCCGATTAAAGCGCCTTGTTAGATCTTATTAGATTACATTGGGAATAAAAGAGAAAGCGACGAGTCTTCGTTTCTGGATCTATCGTACGGATGTGTCCACGCGACTTTAAAGAGCTCGATTAACCTTTGGGGATTCATGCCTGGCCTGTTTTTAATTTGTTCACGTTTCTTGCTCGTTTGTATAATTTTCACGGTTGAAAGTAATTTTAGACGTTATAACGTTAGATGTCTCTGCGACAGAGTTGAAAATATAATTTTTAGAGTTGCTGTAAACCAAAAAATTGTGCAAATAATAACGTATGATTTAATTACGATTCATTATGGAGTGTCCGTTGTTTAAAGAATGATTCGAAACGTCGCCTCTTTTTAATCTCAGGTTTGAAGTGATTTTACTATCAAATACAGTTCGTAATGAGATTTCAACCTAATCAAATTTGTAAGTTACGCTTATAATTAGTTTCTGAAAAATAAGTTCATTTTTATGTTGGTTGGTAATTTGAAAAATTGTGAATTTAAGTTAGAAATTAAATTAAATAAATAGATGTGTTTATGATATTTATAATTTAACTAAATTATTTATAATAAATGAATTTATTTTTCTTCAAAGTTCATTAGGAAATAAATATGAGAGATGATGTGTTGAGGGAATGACGCGCGATTAAAATTTTGAATAAATCTGTTTGCAATAAATGTTTAAAATTTATGAAACAAATAAATTTAAAAGTCTATCGAAAGAAATATGTTGTGGGATATAGAATATTTTAAAAGAATGATATACGGTTAAAGTTTCCATTTCCAAGAAGCGAGATTTCATACATTTAGACCATTCTAAAACTTACAAATGGGAATTTATTATAACTGATTCATCACGACGCGCGCATATTTTGCGTTTTAGCGTCGCTTGTTGCACAACTTGGCAACTAACGAATCTGGCCCACCATATTGTGCAATCGGTGCTATACATGCAGGCCACTGTTACTCCTCTTGAAATTTCATCGAAAATTAATCAAATGTTCCCACATTTTCCAACTATTCTTTCTTATAATCTCTCAGAAGTGATAATTTATTTGGTAACGCGTATCTCGAACGAAAGATGGATCGAAATCACAACGACACGCGGAGTATCCCGCGTACGCCCGACCAAGAACACGGCGAACAGGAAGTGGCGGAGAATTTTACGCTGGTTTTACCGGCACTCGCGCCTCTTTACGAACAATATGGAACATTCTAATTGCTCTTGTTACATCACTTCCCGGCAGGAAGTCGGCTCCACCGGTTCAACCGGTAAGGGCAATTCTTGTTAGTTAAAACCGGCGCGCGTCTTCGTGATTAAGTCCGCCACTAGTCGCGCAGCGGACCCAGTCCTCGTTCCTGAGGAGACCGAATCACAGCTCTTGCTTTTCTTTTTCATATATCTTTCTATTTTTAGTTTTTTTTTTATTTTCCCAAAGTCCTTCTAGTTCCTAGACTGACCGTTTAATTTTTAATTCTTGACTTTTTATTTGTTTATACGGGATAAAATACAAAGATGAATGATGAAACGAATGTTTCTTCCGAGTGTTTTAATTTTTGACTGTAGCTTTCAATTTCTGATTCATTTAATATTAATAGCGATAAAAGCGCTTTTTGATATGCAAGTGTGCAACTATGGAAGATATAAAATTTTATTTCGTTCTTGGGAAGGACGCAGAGTTTCTTTATATTTTTTAAATTATTCAGAAACGACGTCAACCGACGATACGTTTCGTTTCGTTTGTTTATCTTCTCCGGCTTCTTGAATTTTCCTTTTTAACCAATCGTGACACACTGTATACATTTCTTACTGTGTCCAAATATTTGACTATTCTCGCCACTCCTATGTATTTTACTATTCTTCTACCGTTCATCCTTGCATACAGAACACCAAAGTATTCCTACATTCGAACAATAATTCCGTAGAAATTGCAGAACGAGAAACTCAGGCTACTTTAAATAAACAGCTTTCCAAGATACAACACCAATAGTCCTCAGATTAGAAAGTAAATTTCTGCGAAATAAAAATTTATCAAAGTTTTGCAAAAGTATCGGATCCCTAGTGTGTTTAATCAATTCTTTGTCATTTTGAGGATTAATTGGTTTGTGTGATAAATTGGTCGAAAATTGTATTATGTGTAACTGAAAGATCTTCTCGTTCAAGATAATTACTGAATATTAAAAACAAAAGGTGTTATTCTATTTTGGAACGAGAGTCGATGGATAAAACATGGCCGACGAGGGCAAAGATTTTCGACTCGATGGTAGAAAAAAGTAGAAGAATTTGTGCAGGAAGTCGGAGCCAGAATTTTCCCCGAAGTTTTGCGTTACGCGCGCAAGTTTGCGTTCAAGTTTCTCTTCTCCTGGCCGACGTTCCTGTCGACCCGGACGGAAATAACTCGCGCCAAAAATAAGTTTACGGTGCTCGTCACGCCGCGACGGCTTGGAATAATGTTCGGCCATTGTGAGCACCCTGTGCGATCGTTCTGTGACGATATGTCGCTTTCAACCTAAATTCCCTTGACATTTTGACGGCGTTCGTTACCGGAAGTTGTCAGACATGGAATACTTTATTATTACAATTGTTAGATTTTCATCTAAAGTCCGTTAAACGATTTGCAATTCTTTAATGACAGTGATTCGAAAAAGGTGCGAAGATCAGAAGCGTAAAGCGAGATGGGGAAATTAACGGAACACGAAAGGGGTGTGAAGCTTTCGCGGAACGCGGTGTGCAAAAATCGAATGCCGCCGTTATGCAAACTCGGAAGGTATAAGGTCGTTGCACCGTAATAGTCTGTCGGAGTGTAATGGAAGGAAGATCAAAGTAACGGAGGCTCGCGTATAGTACATATGTACGTAGGTACGCCCACGAACAGGGACGGCTTTATTCCTCCGATTTCCTCGCTAAACAGTTGCTCTGTCTTTGATAAAACGTCGACCCTCTGTTTTTTTTTTTTTTTTCGTCCCTCGGATCGAGACAATCACGGAGACTAGCCTTCTTCAAGACCAGTCAACACGATTAACTTCTCTTCCTTTTCGTCAACATTGTCCTCTCGAGCATCTCCTCTTGCGTTTGTGTCTTCTGTTATTTTAACAAATAATCTCCACGCCGTTAATAGACTGCGGATTTCTATACAATTATACACATTTTTGTAAGAAAGTAATTTGAAAGATGGAATCCAGACAGAGGTTTGTTCTACCTGGATTGACGTGCCACGCACGTCGAGAATTTTCTGTTCCGAAAATTTGTAATATTTTCTCAGTTTCAAGTATATTTGAATAAAACAAACTAGGCGAAACAAATAATAAATTTATTATTTCTCGGTAATTTCTATCCAGCGATATCATACCGAAGGGGTTCAATAGGAAAGCGACGAATTATCGTACACGATTTGGTCACTCGTTATGGTCCGCAGTCAGTTGCCAGCGCAAGCGGTTAACTGTTATGTTTCATCAGGTTTACTCGCGTTTCATGTATTTTTGTATCTTTAAATTTCTCATAAATGCAGCCCGATGGCCACGTAGCGTTGATATCACTTCAATTAAATATAACCTAGGAGAAAATTCAAAATATCCTTGATTCTTCATATTTACGCGCAGTCCGTCCGCACGACTACCTCGACTACCTCGAGTTCGTCGCGATCTCGACTCGTTACGTGTCAGATGCTTTTTTCGGTAACGAGCATGAATCGACGCTTCTTCCTTAACCGGTCCCGCGCGACAGCGGGCGGGGAGGGATTTTTAAAGAACAGGCAGGAGGCCGTTCTCGAAACAGGTTGGCCGCGGTTTTATCGTGGTCAAGGTCCGGCGTGGATTCAGGTCGGTTCAGCTCGCGTATCACGGTCCTTAAAGGGCTGCCCCCAAGGACACGTTCCGAAGGATGAGCACGCCGGACCGAGCGAAGAATGCGATCTCCGCTCATTGTGTGCCGATCACGGTGACGTCATGCTCGCTCGATACAGCACGTCTCGGACAAATAGGAGCGTAGGACCGGTTTTATTCAGCGGTTTTATTCAAACGAGGAACGCGTTGGAGCTGCCACTTGGGCGAAACGATTGCGAAACGCCTCGTTCGTTTGCCCGTTTCAGGCAACTGGGTCGCCTCCCTCGAAGAATAGACCCGATCGATTTTCAATGGCCGCATCGACTTGGCTTGCTCGCTTTTCGATCTATGGAGCCGACCACGCACTTGCCTGTTTTTAATAGCCGATGTCTTCGAGCTGTGTGTCGCGAGGCTGATGACGTATACGATGTTTAAAATTATTTTTCAACAGCTCGACATTTACGGCCGACGCGCTGGTTGGTCGCTGAAATTTGGGTCGCCGATGAAGTTATTAAGAAAACGCAGGGCCTTTCCTTTTTCGGTCAAGGAGAGTGTGTGCCATTAGACAGTCCGGAAAGAAGTCTCGCGTTCACGCGGACGCTTTAACTGACTTTCGAAAGCTTCGAGGATCTCGTTCTACGCGCTGCCGTTGTCCACGGAAAAAGAGGCGCGAGCAACATCGAAAATTTTTCACTGGCTATATTCAGCCTGTGAGTCACGGTGAGACACGCCACTCGGCGCGTTTGAAATTTTTGGATTTCTCGAGAGTCTGTCGAGTGTAAAACACATGCGAGCACATGCTTTTCTTTAGCAAACGCTAGAAGGAATTATATATTTTATATATTTACCTTCAGATCCTATATTTATTGGAATTTTATTACGATATTTTATCGTGGTAACTCGGAGTGAATAAGAATATTGTGCGTTGATATCAACGCCTCCATTTTGCAGTGCAAGATTTCCCTTGGGAGAAATCTTAGAAAACTTTCATCGCGATAACATTCAGCAAATCCGCTGCAAGACAATTAAATAATTAATTAATTGTGACATTCATGCTTTCCTACTCTCTAGTTCCCCTATTCTGTATTGTATGGCGGAACTCCATTTATTGGAATCAGATTTTAATCCAATTACATAAGCTT